GTGTTTAAACGAGCCGTTTTAGGAGGGCGTGGACGAGTCTTAACTTTTATAAAGAATATCTCTTTGGGTTTGAGACTTTAGTCTTTGCAACTTTAGGGATCTTATCTATTCACAAACAGCTTGTAACACTCCAAAGAGAAAGGAAAACTTGAAATCACATCATATGACCCCTTTAATGAATGACTGGAAATTTTAAATTAAGTTCAATTAATATTTAAATTTTATTATATTAAAATAATCTTAATTAAAATTCTAAAAGACAAAATCTAGATGTGAAATACATTTCTTAATTATTTTTATTATTATCATTATTATTAATAATAAAACATTTTATTATGAGTAACTGAACAAATAAATAATATTATGTATCATCTTTTATTTCAGTAGACATTTTATTTTAATGAATTTAATGATTGGAAAATATTTAAATCGTTATATTTAAATTAAGTTATATTAAACTTAATTAAAATACTAAATAAACAAGTTATTTTTATTATTTATTTATTATTAATAATAATGTATTTTATTATGAATAACTGAATAAATTAAATAATATTAAATATATTGTGACATCTTTCATTGCAGTAGACATTTTTATTTTAATGACTGGAAAATATTTATGTAGTTATTTTAAAATTTAAAAAAAAATGTGAAATCAAAATTATTGTTGTTGTTGTTTTTGTTATTATTATTATTAAGTATTTTATTTTCTTATGAGTAACATGACATCTTTTATTGCAGCCGACATTTTATTGTGAGGACTGGAACATATTTAAATTAAGTTATATTAATATAATATAATATAATCTTAATTATTTGTTATTATTATTATTATTAAAAAAAAATTTTTTTCATTTATGGGGAACTGAACATTAATTAGCCAGACTCATGCAAGTCCTTCCTGTTTTCTCTTTTCCTCAGGTATCTTCAGAGCAATCGTCTGGTCACTCTTCCTCGCGGGATCTTCGACTGTGGGCCGTTAGCTGTGCTGTAAGTGTGTGTGTGGGCAGCAGTATGGTCTAGTTCCCCGACGGTTTTGAGCTCATATGGTGAGAATGTGTAGGCGGATCTTTCTGGAGTCTCTCCCGAACCGCAGAGTCAAACGCTGAAGAAGCTGAACGCGAATCAACCGGACACACTCCACTCTTTCAGCTCAAACAAAAGCAAAATAAATACAAAGTGAATCAGTCATGTATCCAGATGTTTATCTTTGTTGTGTGAACAGTAACAGACGTGCACTTCAACTACAGCGTTTCTAACACACACACACACACATTGTATGTTCAATCACATGCCCATTACAACCAATTAAACGTCATTGCTTCAGGCTTTGACTGCACCATTTCCTGCTCCATTTCAACACACACACACACACGTCTGGTACACCAAAATCACTCCAGAACTTTTCCATATGCTGCTCCAACGGCTGAACAAGGGAACGATTATACTGAGAGGGAAAGAAAGAAGGGACTTAGAAAGAAGGAAAAACGAGAGGCTGCATGAGCAATAATATCCATTTGATTTTTGTCTTTCAGAGATTTGAGCAACAACCAGATCACCACCATCGAGGAACGAATGTGTGATAATTTATTTAATTTAACTACAATGTGAGTATAAACACGCACACGGGTTTCAAATGTTGTGTTCTCAAAACTTTCAAAACCTAAAAAAAGAAGCTGAATGACCTGAATCTAAACCTGAAAACTAGTCTAGATCTAAATACTGATGCGCCAGTTTAAACCCAAGCAGCAAACAGTGTGCCGCGTCTGCCTTATGTAGTGTATTTCTCAGCAGAAGATCTGTTCTGGCATCATGTCAGATCCAGTAACAGACACACCCAGAGCTCTGAGTCCAGCATCCAGACGTTATACTGACAGCTCACTGTGTGTGTCAGCGATTCATTCCTGTCTTGTCAATAGAAAAGATGTCCATTGCACTGAAATCAGCCGTTTCGTTAAATACGCACACACAAATATACAATTTCTAAAATGCAAACTCCTGTTTATGCATATTAATGCTTTAAAAGTGACAAGATAAATGGGTGAATCTCACGAAGAAATAACCTGGTCACAT